TATTTTTTGGAGTGTGTTTTATTATAATCAAATAATTTATTAAAATAATTATTTTTTGTTTATTTATTCAAAAAATAATAACTGTTATTTGAAAAGTCAAAAAATAAATATAAAAATTGTCAATATAATATCAAAATAAAGTTATAATGTTTTAATTTGTTATATTATAATTAACCTTAACATAAAATAACATTCCTATTACAAACCAATTTTTAAAATAACAAATTATTATAAATACCCTTTTTATAAAAATAGATCGTAAACAAACTAAATATTTTTTATACAGCCAGTATTTTCATTAATTACAGTGAAAATAACACAATAAAATAAGTCTTGAGACTGTATTTTTATTTTTGAATTCAACACCACAAGTTATTAAAATATTGAATCAAGTTTATTATTAGATAACATTGACAAATGAATATTTTTTGATGGTTGAAATTTATTTTTATCAATAAATTGATTTAAAATTGATTACAGTCAAAGGCGTCTATTTGTCGTAATTATAATTGTCGAACTTGTTAATTGTCGCACAACTGGCCAATCATTTTGGTGTACGACAATTAAATATTTTGTTCTCGAATCTGTAACTTTTGTTGAATTAAAAACTAAATTTTTTATAAAAAATAAATTCCAATATTAAATAGATTTTTCTACAAAATTCACTCATTTATGACAAATAGATATTTTTTTTTCTGCTGGATTTACGACAAATAGACGCCTTTGACTGTATTTTTTTTTAAAAAAAATGGTTATAATTTTATTATTTTTTATTATATACTTTTAATATATGTTGGTTGTTACACACTCTACTATTATCTATTAAAAGTTCTCAACAAAAAAATTAATGAATCAAGTTTTTAGTTTTTTAAGTTATTTTTTGAGTTACATCACAAATTCAATACATTTTAAATAATAATAATATATATAATAATCTTGGACGAATTTAGAATTTTTGGCATCAATATCTACTGTGCCTTTTTTATTTGAATCTTTATTTTTCAGTAAAATGTTGTAATTTAAAAACTCGGCCGTTTTCATAAAATTTTAGATGTAATGCTTTGATACGTTTCAAACAGTTTTACACTTTGTACATAGTTGTTGCAAACAAAAAGCCAAAAGAGATTTTAAATTAAATCTCTGATGTCATTTAGATAAGTATTTCAATACCCATTGTGAATGTCATGTTAATCATCAGCATATTATTATTATTTGCACTCACAAAATCAACTGATTATATATTCAAGTTTTTTTCAAAATTAAGTTAAATTATCTAAATATTGTCTGGCTTAATATATTTGTGTAATATCTTATTTTTATGAAGATACAAAATACCTTTTGATAAATTCTTAATTATTTTGATGAGAATTTCCATATTAATTTCATTATTTTTTGTTTTTATGTTATCTTGTAAATATCAAAAGTGTAATAATTAGGTGACCTTACATATGCTTATTTGTATTAACATAATATTATAAGAGTGAACGATATGGTCATTTTAAACTTGTCAAGCATTTCAACTTCTTTTCTAACTTAACAAGTCCACTTATATTGTTATTTAGTTTTATAATTACATAATTTGGTATTTTGATGTTTTTATACAAATTGATTTTGTTAATTGAAAATTGAAGTCATGGTTTCCATTAGTATATATTTCAAAATATATTTTTTTTAAAAAAATAAAGTTATATTGAGTGTCAAATATATACAGGGTGTCATTGCTTAATAAATAAAAATTCAATTGGTTGTTTTGATAAATTGGTTATATAATCAAGATTCATGTTCTTTTTAATTTTTAAATTGAAGAAGTTGGTTGTCAGAAAACCAAATTCTATTCTTCATGTTTTCAAAAAAACACCAAAACAAACAAAAACATAATTATTTTAAAAACGCAAGTCTTTATCACAACATCGACCAGAATTTTCCAGTCTTCTTCGCCTAGTCCAAGGTTCGTAAAATTTGGCGAAAAAAAGTCTGGACTCATCAACTACCATTTGTTATTTTGACAAAAGCTTCTATCAAACTAATCTATAATTATTAAAACCATTAACCAATGTGCTTAAACACATTGTTGTCAATTACTTTCAAACAAAAAAAATGATTATTAATTCATTCATTTGTGTTAATTAAATTATTTTACTTTATCATCAAATCAATGATTTAACTCAAAATTGATTCTTTGAGTGTGTTTTTTGATGCTCAAGTATAAAGTTGAACAAAAAACATTGAATTAATTTTTATTTAAACAATAAGTATTTTTTGTTTTTGTTTAATATTTAAACAATTCTTCATTTTATGAAAAAAAGTCTGACACCCAATAATTACGCTATTTGTATATTGCAAAATAAAGTTTATTAAAAACAAAAGTAAAAAGCTTTCATAACCCGTTTAACAAATTAGTTATTATAACTATTTTAGTTTTCACATAGTAAATGAGTTTATGTATTATTGGTATAAACATTAATTCAAATTTATTTTTTATTGTCGTTATTAACCCATTATTATCTCATAATTGTTTTAGATAATGTTGTAATTGATTTTATTTATATAATGAAAAATAAAAGCTATTTGATAAAGTTTTGACATTCAT